TGCAAATCAAAACCACAATGAGATATCATCTTACCCTAGTTAGAGTGGCTATTACCAAAAAGTCAAAAAATAACAAATGCTAGTAAGGATGCAGAGAAGAGGGAACTTTCATATACTATTGGTAGGAATGTAAATTAGTACAGCCATTATGGAAATCAGTATGGGGGCTTTACAAAAAACTAAAAATAGAACTACCATGTGATCCAGAAATCCCACTGTTGGGTATCCATCCAAAGAAAAGGAAATCAGTATACAGAAAAAGAGGTTTGCACTCCAAAATTTACTGTGGCACTACTCGCAATAGCCAAGATAAGGAATCAACAGATGAATGGATATAGAAAATGTGGTATATGTACACATGGAATATTACCCAGACATAAAAAAAAAATAAAATCCTGTAATTTACAGCAACATGACTGAAACTAGAGATCATTATGTTAAGTGAAATAATCCAGGCACAGAAAGAAAATATCACATGTCCTTAGTCATATGTGGAAGCTAAAATAATTGGTTTCATGAAGACAGAGTAGAGTAATAATTACTAGAGGCTTGGAAGAATGTGGGTGGGGGGTTGGTGAAGAGAGAGGTTGGTTAATAGTTGCAAACATGCAGTTTGAAGGAATAAATTCTAGGATTTGAATAGCACGGTAGGATAACTACAGTTACAACAATATATTGTATATTTCAAAATAAGTAGATTTGAAATGTTCCCAATGCAAAGAAATAATATTTGAGGTGATGAATATCCCAAATACTCTGATTTGATCATTACAGATAGTATGCATGTATTAAAATATGACAAGTACCCCATAAATATTAATTACTATTTATGAATAAAAAAGAGAAAATTTAATGTCCCTCCCTTATGAATTTTCCTTTTGTTTTTCCCTCTCGTTCTCCTTACAGCTCTACCCACTCCTTCTTTCTTCCAACAGATATTAATTGAGTATTTTTTACTGTGCTAGACATTGTCTACAGGGGACTATCTCCTGAGTGCACTTTGTTACTAATTATTGTATTTTATAGAGTATTTTTACCACCTATTATCTTGTTTGAACCTTTTTTTTTTCTTTTTTTTTTTTTTTGAGACGGAGTCTCGCTCTGTTGCCCAGACTGGAGTGCGGTGGTGAGATCTCAGCTCACTGCAGCCTCTGCCTCCTGGGTTCAAGCAATTCCCTGCCTCAGCCTCTCGAATAGCTAGGACTACAGGCGCCCGCCACCATGCAGTATTTTTTTTTTTTTTTAGTAGACACGGGGTTTCACCATCTTGGCCAGGCTGATCTCGAACTCCTGACCTTGTGGTCCACCCACCTCGGCCTCCCAAAGTACTGGGATTGCAGCCGTGAGCCACTGTACCTGGCCTGAACCTTTCTACAAGCTTCATTTCACAGGTAAGCTGAGGTTCAGGGAGCATATGGGTATGTGCTGGGGGTACTGCTAGAACAAAAACTCATTTCAGTACCCTTCTTTCCTCTACATACTGCTGACATAGGTATGAAGATACGTGGTTCTATATTGCCTAAAAGTTACAGGGGTAACAGAATTGGTATCAATTTTGGGTTAAAAAAATCACACAAAACAATTTTTATAAAAGACGATGCACTGTCTTGGGCATTCTCAATGAAGTACGCTAAAAATAACATTAAAATGTCTGTTCTATTGAACTGTTATTAGATGCCAAGCACTAACACAGAGTAGCTCATATAATGCCTCCAAATATCCTGTGAGCTAAATTGGTTTCGTTCTGGATCTGAGAGAGGTTGAATAACCTGGGTAAGCATGACTAAACTTTTATCAGTCATAAAAACAGAAAAGAAAAATGTTCTATTTTAAGTGACCTTCCAATTGTGTTTTTTGAATTAACTGGTATTTGCCATGGACGAGTAAAGGGCCTGAAAAAATAATCAACAAATTTGTATCATTTTGAGTCCAAAACGTTGGTACACAAACAACCAAGATGTTGATCAACCCACCTCAAATACATGCTCACAGGTTTATTCATAACTTTCATTTAAAGAGAAAGTGACAATTTTCTTATTAAATAATTTAAATCCAAATATTATTAGGACATCAGCAATTTTTACTTTGGAGACTTCATTCATCAGGAAAACTGATATTCCACCAAGCACTGTTGCTCTCTTCTGAATCAGACTGCTTGTTAGAACATTGGCTCTGATTGGTCTACTGAAACAAAGAGTTCTGGCACCCTCTAAGTCATGGATATGAATCCCACTTTATTCAGGATTGCATCTTAAAGGCACTTGGGACAGTGCTGGGAAACAAAATATGCCAAGCTTCATAGAAAACTTGGAGCTCTCTCTTTGCCTAGACCATAGCAGAACTTGCCCTGTGTTCTAAATTCTGTCTCTAAGGCAAACAAAACAGAGGTGATCCACTACAACCAAATTAATCCAGCAAGCTAAGGCTCAAATGACTGCGGATACCTCCAAATCCTCCAGGAGGTGAATTTGCTAAATAATGTAATTTCTGTCATTTTTTACTTTCAAGGTGAATGAAGACTTGGTGAAAGCATTACCTCTGGAAAGGATGGCTTGAAACCTCAACAGAAGGGATGGAAGTTAGGCAATCAGCTTGGCTATATTTGCTTAAAAATTAATAATTCACTAAAACTGTTTAACTTGGAGGGATCTAGACACAGGTTATTTTTAATTTGGCAACCTAGTATTAGCAGGAATTGGATTAGCTATCATAAAAATGAGCTCAAAGACAGTAGAAATGAAAAGATTGGAAAAATAAGTTTTGAGAGTAGGATTGCTCTTAATATTTGTGGGGGTTGAGTTAAAAGTACAAATGGAAAACCTCATTATCTGCATCCTGTCCCTTTTATATCTAGCATCATCAGTAGCCTCTTGCACTCCAGTCTCCATTCATAAATTCCATCCACTCACCTCATGTCCACTTCTCTACTCTTAGGTTTGTGTATGTTGACCATGTGGTCTGCCCTTGAAGACAGACCTAGAATGAGGTTAGTGCAGGCTGTAGAAGGACTGTTTAGGCAAGAAATTTAGGAGTTCTAGAAAACAGAAGGATCATCTATGGGGAAAAGGGAGTACAGACAGCCTTAGTTTCATCAGCTCCTCCCCTCTGTGAAAGGACACAGATGGAAGAGGTCCTAAGGTAGTTCCAAATTGAGGAGGCCAGGACAGAGACCCCAGTTGCTAGGGTCAGACGGTTGTGTTGTGTGAGGCCATAAGCTAACTGCCTTCACATGTGAGAGGCTCTCATAGTTTGGTGGAAGGGATTAGTGTGGCTAGGGAGAAGAATGGGAAATTTGAACCAGGACACAGTTTGGCCTAGTAATTTAAAGTTATATAACAAAAGATTTTAGCTAGCAACAAGGAAAAACTTTATCCTTAGACCAAGCTGCAGCGAAATGCAATGAACCATGTCTAAGAATACCTAAAGTTGTGAGGCAGAATTGGAACAGAAACCAGGTAACAATCTGCTATGGGTTATATAGATTTCTGCACTAGTTAGATGTGAAGTAGACAAGAGTTTTGTAAAGCTAAACTCCATTGTGACCCTAATAGTTTAGTGGAGCTATATTGGAGAACCATGCATAGGGTGAGGTGGGCAGTGCTGAGGAAGTTGGGAGGTAGAGACAGGACTGAGTTATGTTTAATGTGTTGCACAGTATGATTTTATTACAAGAGTTCTTTGCCTTCAAAAGCCTTGAAGACTACTACACAATATGATCTCTGAAGTTCTTTCCAACTCTAGTATTCTATGAGTTAAAAAACTGGAAGTTTTCCAGGCACGGTGGCTCACATCCTGAGGTCAGGAGTTCGAGACCAGCCTGCCCAACATGGTGAAACCCTGTCTCCACTAAAAATACAAAAATTAGCCGGGTGTAATGGCAGGTGCCTATAATCCCAGCTACTCAGGAGGTAGAGGCAGGAGAATCGCTTAAACCTGGGAGGCGGAGGATGCAGTGAGCCAAGATGGTGCCACTGCACTCCAGCCTGGGTGAAAGAGTGAGACTCTGTCTCAAAAAATAAAAATAAAAATAAAAAACTAGAAGTAGATTCTATCATGGAAAAATGTCAATGATAATGAGAAGTCAAACTAAATGAAAAATATTAACTATTAAAAATGTAAGCAATTTTTCATCAAACATGCCAGCCCAAAATGCTCAAAATGCGTAGACCAAGATTTCAAGATGTATTTTATGTGATATATGATTTTATTTTTAGCTAGTTTTTTAATTAGGAAAATAATACATGTGAATGGTTTAAAAAATTACATTTTGAGTATAAGTTGGAAACTACATGTAAGCTTTGTTTTCCTGTCCTTACATCAAATTCAACTATCTACATCTATATTGGCATCTTTTGTATAGCTGTCCAGAAATTTTCTATATATATCCAAGCATATGCTGTGTATCTTTTTTGAATTAAAAATTTAATTAAATATTAGAAAAGATGTGTAACATACGTAAGTTTTAAATAGTAACAATAAAGTAAATGCATAATACCCACCCCCTTGGCTAAGGAATAGAACACATCTACCACCTTTGAAGACCTCTGCATGTCTCTTCTTGATGGCATTTATCTCCCTCTCTAACACCTGGTAAGAAACACTATCTTCATTTCAGAGTTTGTCAATTCCATTGATTTCTTTACAAGTAGTTTTGCCCCATAAGAATGTCCATTTAAATTTTATATTTATTATTCTAAAATTTACATATGAAATTCTATTTTATCCATTATTTGACTTGCTTATTTTATTTTCATATTGAACTTCATTGATGTTTTCCTCTTTAATTCCACTGTCTCTCCTTTTTACAAGTTTGTATATTGCCCATTTCTATTACTTTAGTGTTTATTGTAGACATTTTAATATATATATTTAACTATGTCTAAATTTCATACATATCTTAAGCTTCATGATAAAACAAAAACTTTAAAATGTTTTGAGTTCAATTACTCACTTTCCAACTTTTTTATATTGGAGCTTTATTTTCATTTTAATCCCACAATATAGACATTTATAATGTTGTTTTATACATGTCTTGCTTACATTGATCCATATGTTTACCATTTTTGTTTACCATTTTGTCTTTCATCTCATCAATTCCTTCTGTAGTCATTTTTGTACGATTTTCCTTCTGAACTACATCTTTCACATGTTCTTTTAGAAAGGGTTGGTTGGTCTTTAACTTTTTTGGGGTTTAGTTTCTCACAAATGTCTTTCTCTCAGAATTCAAATTTTGACCTAATCCTTGAAAGGCACTTTCATCGGATATATATTTCCAAGATGACAGGTTTGCTTTAATCAGTACTTTGAAGATACAGTCTTTTGTTTGATTTATATAATTACAACTGGGCAGTCACTTCATCTCTGGTGTACAACAGTTTAACTTTGATCTATTTTAGAGGGGATTTCTTTTTAGTTATTATACTTGGAATTTATCGTAATTCTGAAACCGATGATTTACATATTTTACACATTCCAGAAAGTTGTTAGATATGTTTGAATATCACTTTTCCTTCATTTTCTCTATTATTTCCCAAACATCTTAAACAGTCTTACTTAACAGTTGTCTTTGTCTTCCAAATGTCCGTCTCTTTTTCTCTCTGTAATGCATTCTATGCATTCTTTCAGGTCTCCATCTTAATGTACTAATAACTCCCTTCATCTATGTCTATTTTGTGTTTATTTTATCCATTCACTTTCAAATTTCAATATTTACATTTTTATTTCTTGAAATGCTATCTGGTTATGTTTCAAATCCCTTTTGTCATATTTTATACACTCTTTTTTGGATAACACTTTCAAAACACCTTTATTTGTTTGAACATACTCAGTGTATAATTTTCTAGCTCCTTTAGGAGCCAAATTTTGCTCTCTGTTATTTCTGTGGACTAATGCATACGATGAACAATTTTTTGTTTGTTGGTGATTTTTGATTGTGAACTAATGTATGGGAAATGTGTCATGAGACCTGGGTTTAAGCTGCATTCCTCCAGAGAAAATTTGGGTTTGCCTATACTAGTTGCCTGGGATCAGTATGGAACTCAAAATAAATTATGCTTTTGAGATTTTTAAGAAAACTGATTGTTTGAATTTAGTCTGCAAACACAGTGACATGTTTCTAGTTTTAGCTCTTCTAAGATTTCTTGTTGACTCTTTTGTGGGGTGATTTTTTGTTTCTTCAAATTCACCTTTTTGCGAGACTGTAAACATTTGGATACACAGATTTAGGGAGGGGTTTCCTATTAAATATTTAACCTTCAACAGAATCCATTCTTTGTCTCTGATCATCTGCAGCTATCAGTTCTATCAGAATTAAAGCTCAAGAACACCAGATATGGATAACTAGCGGTATTAGAACTCACTTCCTTTTCTGGACTCCTAATTATCTCTTGTTCTTTAATGTCTGGCAATTTTGCTTATTTCCTCTCAACTTAGCATACACATACATACACGCACACACACACTCTCACACACACACTCACATATATGTGTGTGTGTATGTACATACATAATTATTATAGCTAGCATTATTGTGTTATTCCTAATAGAAAAACTTTTCAGGTTTTGAGTTCACAATGCTAACAGAAATTAATGCTTACTGTTTAAGAGTTTATAACAGTCTTTCATATTTCTATATAAGCTTTTTAATTTAAAAATGTATTCAGCAATCTTCTTATATTAACATGTACTTTGCATCATGTTTTGAATGGCTGTATAATATTAAATACTATGAATGAAATATCATTTATTTAACAAGTCCCCTACTGATGGATATTTAAGTTGTTTTCAGTTTCTTGTTGTTACAAAAACAAAGTCAACATATATACACACACACACACACATATAAGTTCCATATATATGGTTCCAACAGCTAGGTTAAATTTATAGAATTAGAATTGCTAAATCAAAGAATATAGTACTTAAACTTTGATATTTATTTCTAATTTGCTTTTCAGAGTTTGCAACAACTAATCTGAGAGAGAAAAAGAAAATCTATGTCTGTATCCCCATTGCCTTATCTGCATTGGGTTTTATGAGCACATTATTATTAATTTGAGGAATAATTTATTTAACTTTATTCTCCATTTATTCCATGGAGATAAAATGTATTATGAAAACATGAATGGAGTGCTTTTAAAAGACATTTTTCATGGCAAGTGAGGAACTGATTTGAGCCCATCTTTCTCGTATTCGACTGTGAAATATATAATCCAATATAACAGCAATGTCATTAGATCTCTCATCTGACTGTGAGTGTCCTAATTGTTTGGAGGGTCTTCAGAATGAGTCTGATTGGAACCTCTGTTCCCATGAGAGTGGTAATGGCTCTTTACATTCAAGATCAAGGAAGAAATCCATGCTTTCTTCTAGCATGCAGTACTTTCCTTCTCAGTGTTGTCCCACCAAGCCAGAGAGTGATAACAAAGAAGACTCAGCAGTTCTTCCCTCAGATGAGGAAAGCTATGTGGGTTCTTCTCAAAACAATCATCCCATTTGGAGCCTTGAGGATATCAAAAGGAAAATCAAGCCATTGAGAGAGCGGACTATCCAAGAGTTACTGAGAGAGTTTGGGGATAGTGGGAAGTTCCAGCCAAACTCCATGTCCCTGAGCTACTTTAGAGATCAGGTGGTTATGAAGTTCAGAAGAGCTCTGTATTATTCTGGAATTTGGGTGACGCATGTTCGAGGCCACAAACCTCATAAGCACTTTACAGCTAATTATTTTAAAAGAAACCCTGGTTGCCTACACCGGCTGGTTCCATGGCTGAAACGGGAACTAACAGCTGTTTATGGAAATTATGGCTACACAGTGAAGAACATCCTAACCACCATCCTCCATCACATGACAGAATATGACTTGGACAGTGAGTCCTTCATTCACCTCCTGGAACCTTATCTCTTACAACACACCCACCATTTCCTACATGAGTTTATTAGTTTTGTTCATTCACCTTACAACATGGACACCTATGACCAGCGAGCCATCTATCAATGCTCTGCTGCTTCACCATATGTAAACAAGAAGTCCCTTGTATCAGCTCTTGTTTCACCTCTGCCTAAGGATCACACTCTACTGATATCTCAACATAATACAAAGCAGTCTAAAAACACCCAGGGTCAATGGGATAAAGAGGAGAGGCCCCTGTCAGGCTTGAAACAGTTTCCAAATGGTAACTTTTCCTTGAAGAAATCTGAAATCCCACCAGTCTATGATGAAACAGTAAGCAAAAACTATGGTGGAATAAAAGACAAAGCAGAATCAGGCGACCACAAAAGCACCATTTCTATGAATAATATACTCCAGAAGTGGGCTACTCCAAGGGAAAGGTGCCCAGGCTTACTGAATTGCAACAAAAAAGTTCAAGAGAAAAAGACAGAAGGGATAAAGTTGTTTCCTGATCATGTCCACGATCTGGGAAAGAGTGACACAACCGCACACACCTTCAGTACCCCCGCAATTTCTAATCAGGTTCATCCACAGAAATATAGTTTAAGAGAAAGAAAGGGTTTGAGCCTTGGCCAGAAGATAAACTTCCAGCAAAAAGAAGAAGAAAATAACAAATACTCAGATCCTTCACCAAAGACCTTTCAAAGACTGTCCAGAGAAAGATCCTTGAAAAGTTGCAAATCCAGAGAGAGAAACCCCTCTTGGAGTTGCATTTCAGAAAGTGCCTTTTCTCCTGAGAGAGATGGCAGGAAACTGAGTTCTTTTAGAAAAAAGAGGATGAAGTGTAGACAACTCTCCCAATCTGTAGAAATTGGTTCACACTCCAGGAGAAGAATCCAAAGACGATCAAGGTCCAATACTCACAGATCCAAATCCTGGTGTGTTGGATCTAGAAAGAGATCTGTAAGCAGAGAATCAAGTAATCTCTCTCTGAGAGGAAGTCACAGAAGTGAACACTTCACCCAGAATATATGCTGTGAGCCCTCAAAAGAAAAGCACGCACATGGCAATGAATCAAACTATGGGAGGCCATCTTCAACCACAGTCCAATACGTGAAGCTTTCTTCAACTGCTGGGAAGAGACCCAAGTGTCCTTCTAAAAGTGAAGGTGCTTCCCAAGCAGGAAGACACGGTAACAGTCCCACATGCCTACATCTCCAGGAACACAGATCCCCAAGTAAACAGGAGATAAAGCAAAAAACAACATTTCCTAGAACTGGAAGAACCAGAGCAGCTAGGCGCAGAAAAACCAAATGCCATTATTCAGACATACACATCACAGAGGATGTCAATGATGAACTGGTCAATCTGGATGATATAAGACAAACGAGTGGTCTGAGTGTGCACCCTCCTGCAGGAGGCAAATCCACCAAAAACAGCATTTGAATCTTCAGAATATTCACTGGGTCAAGAAACAATACAAAAGAAACATACTATCAGAAACATAGGTGCAAATTGTTTTAAAAGGCAAATCAGTCTACTAAACTAGCCACCAAGCTAGTTATTCATACTTTCAAAGAGTATGAATATAATCTAAAAACATTATTGAAAAGATTTATCCATCACTTTATAACTGAAAGTAAAAGCCTGGTTATTAAATTCAAAGTTGACTTTGGAGACAAATGCAAATCATTAAATTGGTCATATATGTAAATATTTCTCCCTACATTTTTTCTTATGAAATCAATTATTAAAATATTTGACTTATTTTTTTGCTTCTAGATTTAACTGTAAAGATTGACTGCTCAAAGTTCCAAACACCCTGAAGATTATACTAACAATAAAAGTATAAGTTTCCTACCACAAGTTATTAATAAGTATGTTACTAAACACATGTGTTATTGTATTAGTTTGTTCTCACACTACTATAAAGAACTGCCTGAGACTGGATAATTTATCAAAGAAAGAGGTTTAATTGACTCACAATTCAGCATGCCTGGGGAGGCCTCAGGAAACTTACAATCATGGCAAAAGCGGAAGCAAAAACATCTTTCTTCACATGGCAGCAGGAGAGAGAAGTGCAGAGCAAAGGTGGGGGATACCCCTTGTAAAACCATCAGATCTCATGAGAACTCACTATCATGAGAACAGCATGGGGACACTGCCACCATAATCTATTTACCTCCCACAAGGTCCCTCTCCCAACATGTGGGAATTACAGTTTGGATTACAATTCAAGATAAAATTTGGATGGGGACACAGAGCCAAACCATATCAGTTATTTAAAAAATAATAATATCTATTGAGGTTTATTAGGTTTTAGATCTAATGCATTTTTAGTCCCTGGAAAATAAAGGCAGGGTCACTGTCTTAAGGTATAGGCATTGCCTTAAAGTATTTCACAGCCTAGTTACCAAAACAGATGTAAATAAATAGGTAAAAATGAGCATCTATGGAATTTTTGGCACACTTTCTACTATCACCCTCTCTCGAAAACTGTACCTCCACATGCCCTGACATCCAGATATCTTCATTAGATACCATTTTTTTTTCTTTTAGATAACTCTGATTCTCCATCTATAGTACCATGGCACAATGATGGTGGCTACTTAAACCAAGCTAATCAGTATTTTGCCCCTCTGGCCGCACAATATAGTATTTCCCTGGTATTTCTCAAACTAGTTCTGAACAAAAGGGTCATTCTTTTTCCCTGTTAGCATATGGTGAGAAATTTAAAGTTTAGATATTAAGTTGGTGCAAAAGTAATTGCAGTTTTTGCCACTAAAAGTAATGACAAAAATTACTTTTGCACCAACCTAATACTATCAAGAGCTGTATTTCTCAGTATGAGAAAGTCAGTTTGAGGTAAGACAGGAGAAAGCTAACAGAGTAAAGTGAGACGAGTCAGGTGAAGAGAGTCTTGGAAGTAGGACCTGGATCTTCTAGAACCCAAGCTGTCATTCTATCTTTTATGTGACTGTATTATTTTAACCCTCCCTAAGTATTGTGTCAGTGCATTTCCTGTATGCCTCCTTTATTTAGTCAGGATTTTTATTCACTTTCAATCAAGCAAGGCACTGGGAATTGGCACAATGGAGTCTGTTAGAGAATGAACAGGGAGCAATAATTGTCTTGGGGAAGTTTCTGAAGACTTTTTGGAAGTCATATATGGGTATGGTCCTAAAAGGTGAGTAGGAGTTTACCAGGTGAATTTATTGGCAAGGGCTATCAAGAAAAAGGAGAGACCTGAAGAAAAGGAAGAAAAATGAAATTGTCTAGAACTCCATTTCTAATGTAGCTGGAAAATCCTGAGAGATATGCTGAGATGGGAAGCTGATGCCAAGTTGTAAACTGGCATGAAACCAGGCTGAGTCCACAGCAGTCACAGAGCACCTAAAGTTAGCACAGGACTCAAAATTCAAATTTGTGATATTTAAACAGAATTTTATTTACTTTCTTAACTCTTTTGAAAAAGAATAAAGACACGTTTCTAAAGAAATCTTAGAAAACCCACGTAACAGAAATACAGATGTTCCAGTAAATTTGGTTGTAAACATTGCCATATTTCCCCTTTTTTTGTATGTAACCTCTTACCAAGTTAGGTGAGCTTTCTACTATCAACCATTAGCTAAACCTTTCATGGTGGAGATTCATGGAAATACATGCAAAGTCCTGAAATTAGAAACATGAAATTAATTTATAGTAGTTCAGAACACCACAGTCTAGCAGCAGTTTATAAAAAAGAAAGTAAAACTGTTATTGTAGTCAAAAGTCTACTTATGAGCCAGTAATGCTAGGCTGCATTCAAAGATGTAGAGAATTTCTCTTGGTAAAGAAAAGCAAAGTAGACATGTCAATGTCTTCAAACACACAAATGATTGTTTTAAAGGAAAGTGTATTTTTGTAAATAATTTGGAGAGCAAGTCTGGCTTCTTTTAAGGGTAAAGTTTCAGGAAGGTGATTTCTGCTTAATCAGAGAAAGCCTTTTCTATTAGACTAGTCATATGGTTCCTTTAAGAGTGGTGAAAGAGGCCAATGGAGAAAAGGAATTCTCATCCTTAGAAGTGTTCATGCTTGGCTGGATACCAATAATGTGAAAAATTTGACTGGATGTTTTCTAAATTTCAGTCTATCTCAAAGATGTCAAGACTCATTAAAGAGTCAAATAAATTTTCTAATGAATCAAAAATGTCATACCATTAAATATGGAAAGAGCATTTCATGGATGGGAATATATATTTCATGAAAACACCGTGACAATAATAAATATTGAAAGTTTACTATTTGTGATATACACACACACATACAAATTCTATGAGGCAGTACTTTAATCCACATTTTACCAATGAGGAAAGCTAGTAAATGTTGTGGTTTGAACTCAAACCTAGATGGCCCCAACTCGAGTAAATTATCTTAAACCACAACCTGGTACTACCTACTTTTTAGATGTTGCTGCCATTTTTATCATCTTTCACATCCTCTGGTGAACACATTCACAAACCCTACATCATTTTACTATCACAAAAAGTGAGTAAAGTTGGATTAATTACGCTTATCTTGTCAACAAGGAAAATGAGTTTCAAAGAGATTATATCATAACAAGCAACAGAGCTGAGAGTAAAACTGTAGTTCTAACTGCCTATGCTTTGCCTTTTTATAGCTTATTCTGGTTGACTGAATTTTTCAAATCTAACTCAGAAATACTTATAACCCTTAAACACCTAGTCTTCTCTGCTGCTGAGAGCACTTTTTCATTCAAAATCCAGAATACTAACATAATCATACAGGATGAGGTGCCAAAGGGTCACTTCTATTTATTTATAAGGATAAAAACCAATTCCTCTTTCCCAAGTTCACCCTGAATTGTCCTTTTGATGCCAATGGGGGTCATCTCAGCCAGCTGGGAGTAGGCAGGTGACTGATTTTCAATACCTATGGCTCAGTTCACACAATATCTTCTACGGCGTGTGAGTCAGCTGAAACCTTGGAGGTCCAGGGCCAGTGTTTATCTCTGTCCTTGACTCCCTAGTGCTCTTTGGAGTGATACTCCTTGAGGTATATTTTATCTGTCTAATAAAAAGCAGGTAAGGAGAAATGAGGTGTCTGAAAATACTTGAAAGTCATTGTCAGGAGTGAATATAAAAATGAATGAATTATTAATACTTATAGCTTTCCATTGTGCATCTTTTAACTAATGAGAATTTATCAATCCCCACAGATACATCTTAGAAAGGGCTTTCTACCTGTGCACAGTGGAACACTTACAGTATCCTCCTAACTTCTTTCACTGAGTCTGGGCTCTCTTTCTCCAGGTAATCATCCCCACTCTCACCGTCATTCTTTTTTTTTTTTTTTTTTTTTACACGGAGTCGCCCAGGCTGGAGTGCAGTGGCGCCATCTTGGCTCACTGCAAGCTCCACCTCCCGGGTTCACGCCATTCTCCTGCCTCAGCCTCCTGAGTAGCTGGGACTACAGGCGCCTGCCACCACGCCCGGCTAATTTTTGTATTTTTAGTAGAGACGGAGTTTCACCATGTTAGCCAGGATGGTCTGGATCTCCTGACCTCGTGATCCGCCCGCCTCGGCCTCCCAAAGTGCTGGGATTACAGGCGTGAGCCACTGCGCCCGGTCCTGTCATTCTAATATTACACATTTATTCATGTAATTTGCCTGCCTAAAATTCTTCATTGGTTCCTGTTGCACAGAGAATCCTTTAGGTTCAATCCATTCCTCCACCCATTTGTCCTGGTAGACAAACACACAAGCACAGACATACATACATATACATCATGCATAGGAACACACCGTTATCTGCACACATCATCTCTTACCAATAAAATAGATTATAACTGCCTTGTCTTAGGCAAAATGCGTCTCCATCACAACACTTACTCCAGTGTCTTCCATGTTGTTGTTCAATAAACATTTTCTCTAATTGGTTTGGTATTACTGAACTGTATGATATAGGATAAGCTAACTTCTCTGCAATTCAGTTATCACCTCAGTTAAATGTAATTGGTTCAGTCCCTTTTTGAACCACTGATCTGATGTTCTGTAAAACAATGCTACTGCCTTGCATCCGAGCCTTCCTCACGCTTCTCGGTGCCAGTGGCTTTGATTGGGCTCATCTTTCATGCTCATCTGGACTTCTTTGTCACATTATTGAGGTCTAGAGTGGATTTTAAGTGGTTTACCGGACTGTAATACAATTTGGACTTGGAAACGCTCTGCTAGAGGATCTCTAGATCTCTTTCCATTTTGAATATGCTATAAATCTTCGATGTTTGATTTAATTAAGTTATTCACATCAAAGTGACTGTTGAGCAGCTGAAAGTATTTTACAGCTAAGGACTGATAAGAAATTTTGTCACGTTATTAAGCACTCCAATGTAAAATTTTAGAACATTGTATGGAAATGCTGTCACGTGCAGTTTTGTCTCATTATTTATTAAGGTAAATTAGAAAGTATCTGAACACAGCTTCAAGAGTTTCAGTAATATTCAAAGTATAAAGCTGCATAGTGGGTTGACAGGTATATTTTAATATTAGGCTTCATAACAAACAAATATGTTATAAATATTAGTTTGTATATTACATAAAACATATTTTGAGATATGAGGATTATGCATATATACTTATTGCTTATATATACTTATAACTCAGAAGAATAGGTGCATAAATGCAAGGCAGTGATAATCACTCCCCTGCTTAACCCTTTAATACTTTCCCAGTCTCTACTACAGCAGATTCTTTGCTTTTTTTCTTTTTAATTAAAATCCAACAATACCAGTAGCAAGTCAGTTTCTGAATCAGGTCAGGCCATTGCCCATCTTCATGCTAACTTCTTAGCTTCCAAAGTCTTTGCTCCTCTATTGTTTAGAGAACACTTTCTATAATCCATTTAAGGGACAGAATCTTTTTGAAGTTT